AGAAAAAAAAAAAATTTGCATAAACAAAGACTCGTTATATAGTTGCCGAAGCGATCCAAAGGGGAGAGTGTGTTTTGCTTTCTTTATTTTCATTGTGGAAACCGAGACAAGAGCCCCAATGGAGAGAACTGGAGTTAACACAGGGCTGGTTATATACTGTACATATATGCCTGAGCGGCATTTGCATAGGAATTCCGATCGACCCACGCGACTCCTCTCTATAGATATAGTCACCCTGTAATGCATCATTCGCCGTTTTTCCACGAAATATCATCTTTGTTTTATTTTTATTTTTTTTTATCGCTACCATCCGCGCAATCTTGGGGATGATTGATGAATTCGCGTGTCGGCCAATCACACTTTCAACCGAGTGCTTTAGAAAGTAGATTGTAGTTTAATCCCCCCTCGGCCCCCCTTTCCCTCCCACCCAACACCTCCTCGCGGGGGGAATGGGGTGACGCGCATGACCCACGCAATAACGCGCAAGTTCATGACCAATTCGCCCCGCCATTTTCTATCGTATATTTTGAATCGTTTCGATGGAAATAAATCACTTTCTCGAGGTGCGGAAAACTGTATTTTTTAATTAGCTAGTGGTAATTAGAGAATTTTCAGGGAGAAGTCGATGGATTTTGAGATTATTTGATGTTTAATGCAGGAAAAATTTTTAAAAATTTTTGCAGGAATTTTTTATTTTGTTTTCAGGGTGGAGAAGGAGCGCGGGTTCAGGTGGGGCTGATGGATTTTGTTTATTTGCTCTTTCCTTTTGGAGTTATTGCCTGTTTTATCATTTTTTTCCCTCATTTCCATCCTGCACGGCATGGGCACGTCTATTTTCGACACGCGACGTTTAAACTTTCCTTTCATCGCTCGTCTCAAAAGCAGCTATCCATTTTTTTACGTTGCAGATAATGTTCAATTTACAAATAAATTTTCACCACTTTTCAACATCGAATATCTCTCGATCGAACGATGATATAAAAAAAAATATCACCTCCGCGAAATTAAAGGGATTTTTCCCAACGATTTACCACTTATTTTTTTTTTTTTTAAATTAACAAAGATCGAAACAATGGTTGCCATCCGGCGTGGGGCACGTGATGCGTTAACAAAAACCTGCATTAATAAAAAAAACCGGAATTGGGTGGAACATCGGGATGAGTATCAAGGTGAGATGAGGGAAAAGGGCTTCCGGTAATTCGAGAGCGGTCGCATCTGTCAGAACATTTAATATCGAAAATGTGCGGAAAAAAGTCTCCAATATTCTTCCTCGATGGATCGATCAATAGTTATCGATGGTATTTATTTACCGTGATCACGTGTCTCATACAGCCGAGGGGGTCAAAGGTGGCGCGTGGCGCATCTGTCGCCATAATCAATCGTTCCAACTCATCGACCTACAGATCATATTCCTCGTCATGACTCAATATATTTCAACATGAGTTATGATCGTTCCTCAAAAAAAAAAAAAAGTTTTTTCTCTTTGATATCTTCATTATCCCGAATTTTGCAGCGAATTGCAATGAAAATGAATTAGTAGGTATTCATAATTTTGAGTGAAGAATTTTTAATCCGTGGATTTTTTGGATTTTTTCCAATGGAATTTTCTGACAGGCTTTTCTCTTGCGCTATTACTATCCCTTGGAAGATGGGAATTTTTTTAATGCTTTTATCACGTTATTCCGAATTCCTTTTGATCGGACGTCCCGCGGGCGCGAGTGGATGAACTCATCAATCATCGCTCGCGATTTGCGGTGGATCAAAGAGAGGTGATAAAAATCCCCGGTTTTTCGTCGGGAATTCTATCACGCAGGACCATTAAGGTGACCGATGCGCTACACGAAGAGAAATTCTTCGGGAAAATTCTTGTGGTAGTGCTCGACGGGTTTCGGCTAAATTTCGATTTAATATAATCGTCGCAGTGATGTCAAGGGACCAAATTCCCAGGGATCAAATTTTTGGAAGAGTAAAACGACTGTTTTCCAAAATCGATTTTTTTCCAGTAGCCAATGATTTCACACATTTACACACGGTAAAATGATAAATAATAAAATCCTGAGAGACGGAGAAAAGACGGAATTATTTTCAAATGGGTGTTGAGCACAGATGAAAAAAATTCCTCACACCGGAATAAATCCCTCGAAATTTGTTTGACATTTCCCAAAACTGATGCATCACAACAAAAGGCCATTTTCCCTCCCATAAATAAATCTTCAAAAATAAATTCTGAAGTGTATGCATTTGTGATTTGAGAGTCAAGTGGACAGTGAATAGGATCAGAAATGTTTTTAATTCACCCCACCTCCCCCCCGAGGCCAAATGGATGGCTATTTCCGTCTCGTTTTCTTCGAGTATATCGATGGAGCATTTTTTATGGGAATTAAACGAGAGTTCTCTCCCATCGAAAATTCTCGTTGGGAGATTAAAAAAAATAATACGATGTTTCAGCATCCGCAAGGGGCCCGGTCCTGAGAATTATCGGGGCAAAAAATTGTGCGGCCTCTTTCGATAAAGCCGTAATACGCAGCCCCGTTGTTTGCGGTTGTGGCGGTTGTGGCGGTCAAATCGACTCGAAACTCGTTGATTTTTCGTCTCTCAAAATTGCCGGAGATCCGCCAGGTGAATAGGACAGGAAGCCCAGAAAAAATATTGCGATAGAAAAAATTACGGTAATTAATAATGGGGATGAAACGCGAATAATTCATCATGACGAGGAGAATTTTTAGGTGGAAAAATTGATCGTCATCACCACGAACCGAAATTACTGTCACCGAAAAATTTTTTCGGTTTAAATCGATCCATTAATTCGATTAATCAATCAAATATTTATAATACAATGGGAGAATTTGGATTTGTTTATTCCCATCACTGGGGCTTTTAAATATATTATGAATTATTAATTACTTGCATTGAAATTCAATGAATGATAATAATTATGATCTCATCACGCAGATCATTTGGATTCGATCTGGAATCGAATGCCATATCGACTTCGCGAGCTGTTATCGTATTCTCGTCATTGCGAACTCACTCTCAGCTGAATATTTTCACGGGAAATTCCTGAATTGATCGTCAGACAACCAAGATGATTACTCATCAGGGAAAAAAAAACACGAGTCATTAACTGCGTCGTGTGAATGGATTATTGTTCAAGCGATTTTTTTTTCACCGTTCTTTTCCAAGAAATCTATTCTTAGAGGTTCTGTTGTTATCGCAAACTCATTTAACAATTTTCTAGACTTTCTTTGTATTTTTTAAGTGGTTGAAAATACTTGGGAATCAAGAGCAATGCATTACGCATTGGTACGAGAAGAATAACGAGATTTTTAGACAATTTGAAATTAACGTGAATAATTATGGAGCAATTATATAAATATAATGAAATAATGTTTTAATTATATCGCGAAATTCAATACTCGTGTTGAGGTGAATTTTTTTTGCTGATTAATTTTCCATTTGTTTTTATTGTTCTTCACGGAAATAGTGTATTGAAACGAAATATTGCATAGACTGATAACAAACTTGGGAAATAATTGATTTGTTCTAGTCATGGCCAACGTACACCCGTTGATTCCGTTATGAATCAAACGAAAACACTTGATCCACGATATATTTCAAAACATCTCAAGATTGCACGTGTCAGCAGTTTCGCCGGCGGCTATCTCTGCCTCATTTCCGTTTTTCCTTATCGTGTCGACGTATACCTGGTACAAGCTCTAGAAAAGACACGTTCCACAGGTGTGCACGAACAATATTTCATATTTTTACGATATTCCCAAAGCCTTTCGTCCCCCGACACGTTATTTCATCTCAAGACAATCGAAATGAAAAAATTTCCCTTGAAATTCAATCGAGATGTCGGACTAGTCCAATTTTCAGGGTTTCACGTCAATTCACCGGGGAATTCGAATGGAAAATATTTTTTACAATGGGTTCAATGCAAAAATCGGTGAAAAGAGTCTTAAAACGATTTGCTTTCCCTCTATTTATCCCTTTTTTCTTTACGGCGACACGATAAAAGGCAAGGCAGTTTTTCTGGATATCTCTCGGAATCCCTCGACCATGGGATTACATACTTTGGTGGATGCATTCGTATGCAGGATCGTTTCTCATTGTTATTTCGACGACAATAAACGGCCAGGGGGTCTTTGCCACCAGTTTCCCATTTTTTTTCTTCCCTCCCATTTTTGACATTTAAACCGGAAAAACGCATTTGCTGGAGATGACGGTGAATTCTAAATACACCTCAAACAGTTTTTGGCCTTTTTAGTTTGGGGTTATCTGGTTTTGGAGATCACTGGGGTTTGGGGACTTTGAGTTCACAATGCGGGGAGTTGGCGCCCAGACAGGTAGAAATACACCTACCACGACGTGAGGTTGTAATACTTGGTATTGACTCGTGCAGACAGATCGTGAGCTCAATGGAATGTCCAATGACCACTTTTTTCCTTCTCCATTCATTCTTCATTTTTACACGAACATGTTGCCGATAATATTTCAATTATGAATTCTACGGGGACATTCTTCGAACTTTCAGGTGTTTCTACTGCACTGGCAATCTCTCAGAGAATTTTATATACGGAAAGCTATTTGCCAAATTTATTTTGTGACAATTCCGGAATTATTACCCGAGACGCCCATTTTTCGGAGATCGATGGGAAAAGAGAAATAATTCCATCCAAAACAAGTTTACGCTGATACAAATAGCCAATCCCGATAATACGTGAAATCTTCGAAAGTAAATAAAACTCATACTCGTGAGAAAGTACTCAACCCGAGAATTTGAACTCTAACATTCCAAAAACTCAAATCTGTAAACACAAACTGTTTGATCAATGCCGGAAACGTCTCTCCGCAGCCGCTTCGGCGCCTTTTGTAATACCGAACACTTGAATATTTTCTCGTGTTTACCAAGCACAAATTTTCCAGATAATTCCCCTAATTATCTCGATGGTAACAGACGTTCAACGCATGCCCAAAGCGAAAGTGAGTTTACTTACTCTGACTCCCAGCAGCAAATCCCATCACCATCAAAAGCATGATGATCTCCATGATACCTAACAGCTAATCTGCAATCTCAACGAGGAAAAAAAAAATCCCAACAGCTTGTTCAACTCCAACTGTCACTTCATCCCCACTAATTATCCGCTATTAACCCCCGAGTCCTCGTCACGATTTAATCGTATCACAGTGCCTCCTCCACCCCGATATTCTCCGTATTACTTCATTCACTGAATACTCGAGGAGAATAAAAATTCCACCTCCTAATTCACCTGAATCATCCACGGAATCGCGAGTCAGCCGTTGTGTTTCTGATGCGGCAACGTGAAACGGAGCGTGCAACCACTTTCCACCGTGTGCCTCTTGCCAAGTACCAAGTACGTATCAAGTAGCTGCAAGTACCGTTGTTGCGTCTCACTCGGTTCGTTCTAACGCCTCACACCTCTATTTTTATCATTCGCTCGCAAATGCCCATTCAATTACACGAATTGTGTAAAAAAGCTCAATAAAAAATTGAATAAAAAAAATTTCAATAAAAAGTTCAAGTGAATAAAAAAATGTGTAAAAACTTGGGTGAACACTCGATGAAAAGCTTCAGCTGTTTAGCAATTGATTGAGATTGCGATTGTTGGATTGGGGGAGGTAATGGGTGGGTAATTGGGACAAGTTGGCAGGGAATTTAAATGGTGAAACGCGAAACACCTGGGTATTGCTAATCCGCACGCACCACCGGCCTGCGAGCGAATGGCGATGATAAAACCTCAATGAATCCAGGGTGAGATTCTTGGTATTGTGGTTGTCGGAGTAGTCCCCACTTTCTGGAATACGTCCACGCGGTCGTATCATCACTGGCGCACGTCTATCCCCACCTTGTGGCAACCTGGGGGCGGGGTTCACACCCGGGGAATGCCGGAGTGTTGTGAATGGACTCCAATTGGTTTTTGTGGTCGATGGTCCTGTCGGGTACTGAATTATCTACTGTCGGTCGTTGTCACGTCTTTTTCATATTAACCATTGACGATCATTTTTATTTGCGATACGATGTGGATATTTTTTCTCATTAAATATAATATGTTGCAAAGATGAATGAATTTTAATTCGTTTTTTTTATGGGATGGCCTTCTGGAAATTGTTTAAAACAGGAAATTGTTTTCCGGTGTTTGACTCATTACCAACAGCTGTTGTGATTATTCCTTTTTTAATTCGCCGCGAATCCCGCGAAATAAAAAATATAAGAAAATTTTGGTGGAGGCCAATCGCTGGGGAATAATAAATAAATTGCGCCAATTTATATTGCGAAAATATTTGAGATAATATAAATTTCGGGGGTCGGCTTAACTCTTCATTTGTAAACGTATGTATATAAATATTTTATAAATCTAGCGTCTGCCGGCCGTTAGACCTGATAAATCCGATGATATACGTATCGAATACCCATCAGTATATCCTCGATTTACAGACTATATGGGATGTAGAATAACGATAAATAAAGATGTGAAGCACAAAACGATCATGAGAAAAAGTGGGATATATTCTGAGCATCGAAGGTTATACTAAAACCCAGGACACGTCTTTTCTGGTACCTCAGGTGTCTCGACCCAGGAAACTTCAATACGTGTTCGACATTCCAAGAGGTTCGATAGGTCGGTTATGTCGGGGCCCTAGGTTGCCCTTTACAGAATGCAATCGTCCTTCAATGCGAGGGACAACCCACTCATATTTCGTAAGTACATCACGAGTACTCAATGAAAATGTAAAGGAAATATTTTCAGGTACTTCTCTCAATTAAAATTCATTGAAATTAGTCGTGTAAAAAGTTGAGTGGATTGGGTAATTGTTCGCGGAAATGCATGTCGTCCCCGAATTTTTCGGAATTTTTTGAACTTTTGGGGGAAGAGATGTCCAAATTTAATCAGTGGTTCAGAGGTCGTCTGTTCCATCATGCCATGAATTCTTTGGTCTATCGGTTTTGAGTTACTTCCTTCCATCACTATGTAGAGGGATTCAAAGCGCCTGCGGGTTGCTGATGAGTTCGCAAATTCTAACAGGAGCTAGCGATAAAGTAAATTCCCCAACCATGAACCAAATGGACCACTATATCAGATAGAAGATAGATGCGGTTGATTAAATTCACGCAGACGCATTTTATTTATGGTTTCTGATAGTTTACGGTCTCCCAGGGAATTAATATGTACGGTCCGAAAATGGCTCATCACCGGATCATCGAATTTCTCACATGCTTTTTTTTAAAAGGAATTTTACCCGATTAAAAAAAATTGTGATTGGAATATTTTTTCCAAATTTTCAAAAAATTTCGGGAAAACTTTTCCGGAATTTTTTTTTATGAAACAAAAAAAAATCGGAAAACAAAACAATTTTATTTTTGGGAAAGATTTTGAAAAATTTTTCAAAAATTTGAATAGGAATTTTTTTTACAATTTTGATAGCGTATTTTTTGAGAATATTGAAAAATCAAAAAAGTAAAAAAACCGCCGTATAATTAAAAGAAAAAATTGTATTCGCACAAATTTCTAGAAAATTATAAAAAAAATTTTCCGAAAAATTTTTCAAACCATTTCCCAAAAATAAAATTCTTTTGTTTCCCGATTTTTTTTTGTTTCGAAAGAAAAATTTTCCGAAAAGTTTTCCAGAAATGTTTCAAAAATTTGGAAAAAATATTCCGATTACAATTTCTTTTACCCGGGTAATTAAATTTCAATCAACAGCACTCATTACGCGTCTTACATATTTTGAAAATTCCAGTGCAATTGTCCAGCAATAAGTTGTTTTTCAATAGTCTAATTAAATCCTTCAAATAATAATTAGAACTTTAATTCCGCAAGGACTTTATAAATTGGTCTAAAATGGTGTATTAATGGCATCGTAACGTTAAATTAGGAAGTAGCCCTGGAATCTGACCGAAAAATATAAGATTCAATTGCCAACACTTTATACTTTGGCCAACAGTTTATGTCAATTTCCTCTCAACAGTGTAACGACGTTTCGCCGGGGTTGAACGAGGCGCGAAGTAATAAAGGGCCCCCCACAGCCAACGTTGGCACAATGGAGGCTAGTTGCAAAGTTGCGATTGCCAAGTGGCCAATCCCTTCGCTCTCACTCCATTCTGTATCTCATTCTCTCACTTCTGCCAACCGACCAGTAGACACACTCTGGCATTTCACAAACAACAATAATAACACAATATAACTGACTCTAATTTCATATCTCTCGGACAATGGAAAAGCCCTCGATTTCAACCGTTCGGGTCCCCTCAAATATTTATTGTATTAATGAAACGTCAAGTGAAAAACAATTAATTCATCCAGAAACGTATTCTCGATACGCAATTTACGAGTGCGGTTTTCATACGTCGCATGACGTTGCATTCTCCATTAATAATATTTTAATTAAAAAATGGGAAAGCTCAACATTTGTGCAAATATTCAATCACGCTTGAAGAGATTGTTTGCGTTCTAGAATTATTGCTCGAAGTACGCAATTTTTTTACGAGTACTATGAATTTTTAGTGAATCTCGTTATCGAACTGTCAATCTTTGATGAGGAGAAATATTGGAATTATAATCTGCAAAAGTTTTGGATAAATTTCATTGAAAAAAGATTGATCAATCAAAAAAATGTCAAATAACATAGTGATGATCAAATTAATGGAAAAAAATTTGGGGTGTTCTATCAAAAAATAGTCAATCAATCGGAGTTTCCGCTCAAACACACAACCATCGCAAAACACCTGAATTAACTACCCCCGCGGTACATATCGCACCCCCTATGGACTATAAGACACAGTTGCCCCTGTTGGCAAAGAGAAATGTTAGTACAGTGAGAGTAAATTGAAGTTGGACCGAGTTTGCGTAACTCTCAACTCCAGTTTAGAGTGAGACACAACACCATAGAGACAGAAATACGACACCGCGGGATACGAAATAGAGTGTAAAGCAAACTGTTCGACCGCCCCATCTGCTCTTTTGTCAAAAGCAAGTGAGAAAATCTCAGCTCACTCATTCCCGGGATAACGAATATCGCAAAAAAAAAAACATCCCCTGAATCAAGTCAAAAAAAGTTCAAATCGGGATTGAATCATGCCGAGACCTATTTTATGACTGAAGCTCAAGTTAACGTATCGGTCTGACTCGCGTAGATTTTTTCACTTGATTCAAGTCGACACTGCGATTTAATTCCCCCTGTCTGCGTAAATGCATCTCGAATCAATTTAATAATCGGCAAGAGTCGAAATGTTTTTTATCATGACAACTGGAAAAAAACTTGACAGTTGAAAAATGCGGCAGAAATATCGATTGAATCATGATGTAGATCTGCTCGCTCCGTATCGACCCCATAAAAATTAATAAACTCGCCTGAACTTTTCTTTATTGTCGTCATAAAAATGTATTATTGAATCATCGAAATACTGTATATTTCCACCCGATCTCGGGTCTATCTGTTATAACTAACCGATGGATGCAGACTGTTGCAAGAAATGAAAACTTTATTCGACAATAATCGATTTTCAAATATGATACACGTTTGTTTCCGAAGAAACACGTGGCATCATTGTCTTGAGGGAAAAAGTTAACACAGAGGACTAGTCCAGGGGACTTTAAAAGTTTTTCCCTCCTTGAAACGAATGAGGCTATTGGCCAAAAAACTTCCGCCCGGTTTCATTCGTTTCTCCTGCTGCCACTGACAATAAAACTAACTGTGTAATCCTGTCATTTTTATTTTACGTCGTTTCTCGTTTTTTTTATCTACCTTTTTTTTCCCCTCGACGTTCATACGCGGTCGGTGCCTCCCTTTTTTTGGTGAAAACGGAGGGGAATCACCTAGTGGCTCTCACCGGCATGGAAAAGCGCATAAGTAAGACAAATCAGGGGAATTATGGCGGCATGCGTCGGCAGAAATGCCCCGGAGTCTCGACATTTCTCCTCGTAAGCATTTATTTCTCAATTTGCTCCTGTTCTTCCTACGTTTCTTTGCTCTTCATTTAGCCGAGGCTCTGCTTCGTGAAATATGGAAATGATGTTTCGGCTGAGATAGCTTTGTTGTTACTCCCTATGTAATCGATTAAGATCTGCCCCTCTCCACCCTCTCCATCAATTCCCTCAATTATATTTTCAGAAATATTAAAAATTCCTATTTTTTAACTCCGTTCTAATTTTATTTATTATTCAATTCAACCCGAGGTTGGTTAATAAACTTTTCACGGTAAGCGGTCTTTTTATGGAATAATATTTTGTCGAATGCAATAATTTTCTTGTGGGGAAGCGCATAATTCGCGCGTCTCATTTTTTCTCATTTCTAGTTGATCCCTCTCTCGACGCAGAGGCCGTAACGCATATTACGGTGAACACACGGGGAATAAAATTGCACTTGTATGACTGCCGAGTTGTCGGATGAAGTAAACTCTTGGAATAGAGTGGGGAGAGGAAATAAATGGAGGCAGGAAGGGGAGGGTAAAGCATATAAACGGGTGTGGAGTGAGTGGTGTGATGGCGCGCGCGGGCAGTCTTGCGTGTCAAAAGTCAAAGGGGGTTGTTTGGGGTGGGGTGAGGGGTGGGCTTATTATTTCTACATGTGTATTATAGAAGGGGTCGCGTGTGGGCGACGAAATGTCACTCAAGGATGATATCAATTCACCGCGATCGGGGACACTTTAGTCGGCATGAAATAACCGCATTTTTTTCTCTTCACGAGTCGCTGAGAGGAGGAAAGGGATAAAATTAGAATTTGTTAATTAAAAGTTCATTGTTTGCGAGAGGATTCTGGGAAATAGGTGTTGTCAA